TTAGTTGTTGTTGTGAATTTCTAACATGATGAGTACCTAAGACCGGTTTTATTTCATTCATTTGAGACTTAATGAAGTATTTGTTCCAAAGAGCATGAAATTTTGCCGGAAATGTTTTCAAACTTAAACAATAGGTAAAATGAACGAACATTGTTTTACCATAATCAATTGGAATTTTTCTTTCATATCTACATCGATCATCTTCTTTCGCAATGTATTATCATATTTTGTCGATAATGGTTGATTAATATTATATTTTTGAAATACATAGCTAAATTGTTTCTCTATAAATTCGCCAAGATATTTATTTAATAATAAAATCATTCTTAATTTTTCAAGTTCATTTAAATATGCTTCGAATATTGAACAATATTTAATAGTGCAAATTAACATACCAAATAGAATATTCTTTTTTATATGCGTAGAATAAACACTATTAAAAGGTAAATAATATGACTCGTAAGATGGTTTATGATAAACTTCTGTAAATAATTCGTCATTTTTATTTTCTATATATAAATCAAGAAAATTTGTTGAATAGCGAACTTGTGCTTCTAATTTAATGCTTGAATCAAATTTATTCCATCGATAAATTTCTTTCAATAAATGTTGAGTAGGCCAATTAATCGTAATAAATATATCATCAATATATCGCAAATACAATCTATCACCATTGTTAATTTGTTTAATGATATCTTGTTCAAAAAAAAACATATAACAATTAGCAACTGTTAATGTTAATGGAGAGTCCGTAGCACTACCACGTACTAGATAATAACATTTACCATTATAAGAAAAATAATTATTTTGTACAATGAATCAACACAAAAGAATAATAGTTTCAATTTTTAAACCATTAATTTGTTTTATATTTAAGTAATCTAGCACTTTTTGTGAAACACGATCTGAAAGGAGTGTTGAGGTGTATAGGGTAGAAATTTTGGACCCACTCCCCCCGTCCCCTCTCCCACAGACTGTGACAGAGAAAATTCATACCCATCACAGACCGTGACAGAGAACCTTCGGACCAGGGCTGCCAAGCCTCCTGGTTTTTTTACTTTTGTCCTGGTTAAAAATTCTCCTGGTAGCAGGAGCTGGTTTTTGAGATTTTCTCCTGGTTTCTCCTGGTTTCTGAATTTTCTTTTAATTTTGACTTTTAGAGACATTTTGAATCAGTAAAATGAGATAAACGAAAGAGAGAAAAGATAGAAAAGAACAGGTGTATCATCCTACTTGATAAATGCAACAACCAATAAGGAAATATGTTAACCTTCTTGTTAATTATATAATAAAGCCAAAGAATCATTCAACTGTTACAAATGAATCCTACTGCAAGAGCTTATACGTTGTCGATAAAAAGAAAGAACATTTGAAGTATTTATGAGAATATCTTCATTGTAAAAAGATGAAATTATTGAAATAGCGAATTCATCAAAAGAAAATATTGTGCCACAAGCCAAATCTAATTCATTAAAAAATAATTTAAAATCTAAAACTTCATTACCACTACCATCTCGTACAGTGTCTAAACGTTACCTATCAAAATTTAAAAAAGAATGGTTATCTGATCCACAATATTCTTCATTTTTAAGAGTGCAAAAATGATGCAACAAAAGCGTTATGCATTCCGTGTAATATTCAATTTTCAATGCAAAATAGTGGAATGACTGATGTAAATAATCATATGAAAACAAAAAAACATCAAAAGTGTCTTAAATCTATTGAATCAAACAAATGTAATATTTTCTTTACAATTTTAATAGAAAAATCTTCCTATTGTGTTATAATTATTTCTTCTTTGTAGTAGAAGCAATACATTCAAGATTTAATTCAACTACGTCAGAACTTAATCGAGTATCTGCTACTGAAGGAGTTTTAGTGTTCCACAGTGTAAAACATTTCCATAGTTATCTCTGAGGAAAATATTAATTGCATGCGTAAAAGAAAATTTCAATTTTTTTCGAAAAAAGACAGTGAAAAGTTTCTTAATTTTAATATAAATCTCCTTAATTATTCTCCTGGTTTCAAACAAGGATCTCCTGGCAAACTCCTGGTTTTTTTCTCACGAACTCCTGGTTTTCTAAATTTGGATTTGGCAGCCCTGGATAAGTCCTGCTGCACCTAGCATAGATCCTGCCCCAATTCGCTTACGAACTTCTTATAAAGCTTCTATTTTTGTTCCAAGTAGAACTCGATGAGCTCTATTTAATTGTATAAATGAATTTTCAATGGCTTAAACTAGATAGTCAAGAAGTCAAAAACACCAGCGGTATAGCCGATGAGTTATGGGCATTGTACGATAGATCCTGTCCCAATTCACTTAGGAACTTGTTTCAAAACTCATATTCTTGTTCTAAGTAGAACTCAATGACCTCTATCCAATGATATAATTACAGTTTTCATAGCCTAAACTATGCACGAGAAAAATCCAAGATACTGGTTTTTTTCCATACATTTCATAGAACCCCACACCCAAGATCCTGCTCCCCTTCGCCCACGAACTTATTCCAAAGCTTCTATTCTTGTTCCAAGTAGAACTCGATGAGCTCTATTCAATGGTACAGTGAGATTTTTGATAGCCCAAACTATGCACGAGGAAAATCCAAAAAAACTAGTTTTTCACCATATACTCTTTAGAACCCTTTCCGTAGATTCTGTCCTGATTCGCCCAGGAACTTCTTCCAAAGCTAATATTCTTGTTCCAAGCAGAACTCGATGAACTCTATCCAATGGTATAATTAAATTTTTGATAGTCCAAACTATGCACGAGAAAAATCCAAAATACTGGTTTTTTTCCATCCATTCCATACAAAAATTTTCGTAGATCCTGCCCCGCTTTGCTTAAGAGTAAGTCTCTGAGAGACTCAGACATCCACGATGGAGGTACCTCTCAGAATTCACTGATTTTTTGATATGCTATAGAGGATAGTGAGTTTAGTATTTCTTGAAAATTTCAGCTCGATCTGATTACTTTTTCCCAATCAACAACCAATCAAAATACTAACGAAATTTTTGATAATTTTTAATAGTGATTTTTTACCAGTTTTTAGGCAATTTTCTTTACTTAAAAAGGACTTTTTCATTTCAATTCCTGAGACTTTTGACTTTTCATTTTTCTAACTATAACTATTGAGGTATTGTCCTTCTATATACAATAATTCAAA